ATTACACACAGGTGGACCCTTTTGAGTCATTAGCAGTCATCAGGCAACTTCTGAATGCAATTGGTTGCACTCAGGGAAAAGGGGGCTGAATACTTTTGCAAGAACACTCAGTTAAAATATTAAACTAATGTAGAAAACAGGGAAGAGCATTTTAAGCAAAATCGGTCAACACATATAGAATTCCTCAAAAATTCAACACATGTATATTATTGCTTTTTAAATTTTTTTAGGGAAATGTATCTGTAAAAATGTAACACATAATCAAACACATTGTATTAATTTATATGGCATGGTGTTGACAGACTTAGAGCCTGTAGGCAGATATATGGGTATTCATACTGGCTGAGGAGGAGAAATGGAGAAAAATGGATGAATTGAGGCTTATCTGTTATCTGATGTGATAAAATGATGAAGTGCGTTACAGTGAAGCTGAAAGTGTGATGATGGATAGATGATGAGATAAAAGACAGGAGTGAGAGCAAGTGTGACTGAGCTGAAATGTCTCCTTAATCTTTTTTTCTTATTTAATTCACTTTGACAAATCTTACATTTCCTGTTCTTTCTTTCATTTCATTGGACCCAATTCATGAATTGTACCTGTAACCTTCTTGGGTTTAATTTATTGGCCTCTGGGGGTCAAGTGCAGCTAAAGTTTTATAAATTATAACTGAGACTATAAGTAAATTTAATACTTTATTACCTGCATGTTCACATATCAGCAGCTGGCTTATGAGTAAAAGTCCTCAGATATTAGGATAATACACAATAATGTTGTTTTTGTTGATAGTTACTTTTACTGGACTTCTCTGGTAGCTGTTTTAAAGGGCCTATATTATGTGTTTCTCAGGCATATATTTAAATACTATACCATAATAAAGTGTCTATGTCACCTTTAGCTGTTATTAAAATGCTGTTTTTATGTTTAAATAGAAAAATAAACTTATCTTCTCATCACTTCCTCTTCTAAACGCCTTGAAATTGGCCTCTGTCTCTTTAAGAACCACCTTCTGCTTCTGTCCCGTCCTGTTCTGTGGTGGTGGTGGTGGTGGGGGGGGTTGTGCTATGATGCAGTTTACTTGGCATCTGAAAATACATTTCCTCAAAGGTATTTTTCATCTGCAAAGAGCTTCACTGAGTGAGAACTAATGTTGAGATCTCAGCAGACAGTTAGGTTTCACTTTCACTTTGACCCGAGAGCCTGCAGGAGTCATGGGCGGGGAGGGGGTGCGCTCTGCCATGAGGAAGTTCGGCTTAAAGACACGTCCCAGRGGTGTTTCTGGAACCAAAAGGTGTTTCTGGTCCCCACCTGTCGTTTTGCTCCTCAGCATGGCTTCATAAAAACACTGCAGGATT